GGGCTGCGCGGAGAGGGCAGGGGCGGCAGCAGCAGGGGCTTGCGAGCACAGAGCAAAGCAAAGCTCCGTGCTGGGGCTCCTCTGGCAGCTCAGGGGATGCGGGTGCTGCAGCCAGCCTTGGGGCGATGCACCCCCGTGCCCAGCATGGCCCAGAGCCCTCCCAGGGCTGCACGCAGCAGCTCGCCGCGAAAACAACCCCAATCAATCCGACACCAAACCCTTACTGCTTTGCCTCCAAGATTTCCTGAAAGCAGGTGAAAAAATAAAGGCTTTAAACTGAAAGAGGGGAGATTTTGATTAGATCTAAGGAAGAAATTTTTTACAATGAGGGTGGTGAGGCACTGGAACAGGTTGCCCAGAGAAGTTGTGGCTGCACCCTCCCTGGGAGTGTTCCAGGCCAGGTTGGATGAGGCTTTGAGCAACCTGGTGTAGTGGAAGGTGTCCCTGCCCATGGCAGGGGGGTTGGAACTAGATGGTCTTTACGGTCCCTTCCAACCCAAACCATTCTATGATTCTGTGATTATCAAAGCCTGAAAAACTCATAAGCAACTGGGTGTCATGCCTCACCTCTCCCTGTGCAAGTAAAGAGAGTAAGAGTAAAGGCAACGGGGGGCATTTAAAAGCAACCTGTGGTTTTAAGCAGGTCCCCTCCTTTATGCACAGCAAGCAATAAAGGAAATTAATCTGCTTTCTAGAGGTGCTGCAGCTTCCCCTGACCTTGAGAGGAATCGTGCATCTCCAGCATAGGGAAGAGCAAGCTCCATGTCTCCCGTGCTGGAGACAATCCTCAAGGCAACTACATCAGTGGGCACAGGAAATTTGGATGCGATTTGCTCCAAGGCAGAGGGTGCTGGACAAGCAGGGGAGGGGGACAGACACCTCCAGCTCCAACCCCTTTTGCAGGGACGGGGGGAGCCCAGCTTTGCCCACGTACCGCACAGCCGTCCAGGGCGGCTCGGATGTAGGGGTTGTTGTCGTAGGACATCTCCTCGTCGTTGGAGCCCAGGAAGCGGATGGCCTTGTCGTAGCTGTCGGTGGTGGCATCGTGCCAGGCTACAGACTGGTAGCAGTTGTAAGTGATGTTCTGGTGGGCCGAGGCGCTCAGGAGCCGGAGGAAAGTCATCTGCACCACTCCGATGGGGTTCCCGTCCGAATCCACGTAGGAGAGCTATGGGAAGGCAGAGAAGCTGGGCAGTGAGGGGTAATGCAACAAGTTTGGGGGCTCTGAGGACCATCGATCTCACTCATCTTTGTCACCCTGGGCACGGGGCTCGGTCTCACCACCCCAGCGAGGTGCCGACACTGCTCCTGCCACAGGGCTGCTCTGCCCCTCCTGCTGCCAAGGGCACGGCTACCAGGGGAAGGTATTATTATTTCTCACGCTGGTTGTGAGCTAAAAAAGTAAGGCTAATGCAGGGCAGGAGGAGAAAGGAAAGGGGATTTCAGCCCTGGTTGCAAAAAAGTGCAGTGCTAAGCAAATTCAGGGATATGTGTCTCAAGTTTAAGCCAATACTGAGCACACTTCTCCAGCTTTTAAAGAGGGGAGAAAGCAGATTTCTGTAAGAGTTTGGGGCTTTAATTTTCTGCCCTTTTTGACATGATTTTCTGACCGCTGTGGGTATCTGCACACATTGGGGTATTTCCCATTCATTTTTCCTGGGCATCACCACACTGGCTTTTAAGCAATCTTCACATTTAACCTGCAGCAATCCCGTTCCTGCTGCTGAGGACTCCGTGGTGCCCTGGTCGGGGAGGCTACGCTCAGCTGAAGGCAAAACGAACTTGCTGCCCTTAGGGCATGTCACGAAACACGGAGCTGCACTGGCACAGGGATTTGCTCCATCCTGCCCATCAGGCTCCTTTGCTCCCTTGCAGGATAACGGCGTCTAGAAATGTATTTCTGCAAAACACGATTTATTGAAACCCCCTCCAGCACCAGGGATTCAGGACTTTCTGGGATTTTCTCTCATACCCCACCAAGGCAGCAAACACGCGGCAGGTCAGCTAGTTCCCATCTATAAACTAATGGTACTTGAGGTGGCACCTCCAGCCATGGCCAAGCCACCAGAGCTGCTGTTCGGTACTGTCAGCTACAGACAGGGGGTCTCTTTAGCAATGACCAGGAGAAAAATACAGGCACGCAAACAACGCAGTGTTCTTCGAGGTACCACGAAACATCAAGTTGTGGTGGAAGCTGCAAATAGTAGAAGAGATTCATAACCAGACAATAAAATCATGGGTAAAAAGATAATAAAAATAAATAGATATACCAACCGGTTGTCAGGATACTGTTGCACTGTCCTCCTGAGAGTTAAATATGACTGACCATGAGAAAGCCACGCATGCCAAGAGAAGAGCTACCAGAAAACCACCAGGACGTGGAAGGAGAGGGACACGAAACGCCGACTGCTTGGAACACACCCAACGGCACACGGCACTACTGGTCTGCAGGACCTACTCCTCTCATTGTTCTTATTTCAAACCAGTGCTTGGTTTGGGAGCCTGACTGCTTGTTGAGGGCTCTCGGTTGCTGTTCTGCCTCTATGGCTGGCACGAAGCCCTGCCCCAGCTTTGCAACTGGAGCCACTGGGAACGGGTTGTGTGCATGAGGCGTGCTCGTGGGAACAAGGTTTTGCAAAAATCAATCCTTTCCTGATTTCTCTTTGACAGTGTTTCCCCGTGGCAGAGGCCATATGGCTGTGGAGGGTAACAGGACAGGATGGGTGGCAGGTCTCATCAGAGCTGCTAGGAGTTGTGTGTGACACACAGAAAGAAAGCAGAGTCCAGAAGAAAACATCTGCCACCCTTTTATCCCTCTAAATGCAATTTGGCTGCATCGTGAGAAACAGTAAGAAATCAGCTCCAAGTACTCCACGTCACTGATTAACGGTGGTGCGGAAGCATCAAAACAAGACTGTTTCTTTGCATTTCATATTTACTATGTCCTTCTTACTTTAGATGTCCCCAGAAGACAGACAAGCATCTCCACAGCTGAGCACCTCATGCAAGCACCAAAATTCATAAGGAGTCCCCCATGTCAGCACCCTGCGCCCTCGGCAGCACGAGGAAACCTTCCCCTCGGCTTCGGAGATCCCCATGGGCTCAACCCCTGAGAGATCATGCTCAAGCTGCGTGGAAAGACACCAGGGACCTTCTCTGGGAGTAACAGGAGCAATGCTGCATCAGAGCGGAACCCAACCTCATTCACTCCACCCATCCACACACATATTTCAACTGATCTTAATCCAGGCAAATGTCTCCCCAGTTTATCAGTCTCATAGTTCCAAATACTGACTGAGGTGAAATGAGAGGTACTTTCAAAAAAAACCCCAAAAAACCCAACAAAAAACCTAACCCCAAACTATACTTTTATGGCTGGTGTGTTTGTGTGGTGTCAGGTCTTCTACGTGCTGGTGGCTTTTTTCCAAACAGAAAACGCAGGACAGGTAAAAAGCAAGAAAATGGCAACACAGAAAGATGGAGCAAAGAACTCCAAGTAGCACTGACATTCTTATTTAAAAAAAATGGGTCCTAAGCTCTAGATTGGCAATTCAGCCTCTAATGTAGCTGGTAAACAGTCTGGAAAAAAAAAAGCAGAGAAGATGGAGCAATGGAGGTACTCATGATATTAACTGATGAAGTGCTCTGTAATTAAGCTATGAGTAGTTGCCCTCCGAGGAGCTACACGGCTGAAGCCTTGGCTTTGCAGCCGTATTCGATGATGCAGAAAAGCTGCAGAAGCCATCTCCTTCTGGTGGGCAGAATCAGAGGAAAACACGCTTAGTGGCGATGAAATGCGGCTTAGGAAAACAAAGTGGTGATTTTCTTTGTTGTTTGCCTTTTAAGGTGGAAGTTTGGGGCACTGCAAGAACCCTCTGCCCCGGGGAGAGGGCAACTGTGCACGGCAGCTCAGCACGGTACCACAGAGCATCTCCTGCCAGGGCCCGGTCGGTTTTATCTGCTGAATATTTCCTTCTTCCCTAATTCTCCTAATTTGACTGAGCTCGTTATCTGCATCCCACTAATCCTACAAGAACTGATACACATGTGGGAGATTTTGGTTGCTTAAGGAGACCTGGCTTACACTGATCACTTGCTGTTCTGACAAGGATGCTCTGACATCCCTGACCAGGACTGGGGCTCGGTGGGAGCGATCTATCTGCAACGTGAATGTCCTGTTACAGGATAAAATACGAGAGCTTTTTCTCTGTTTTAAGTGCTGCTGCCTTGCTTGCTGACAATAATCATTATCTGACCTTATGACAGTTGTTCTCCCTTGAAAAAATCCCTGCTTGTGTCAAAATCCTGTCCACCTGGCTTGGCAAACGCACGTGGCTTGAAATCTTCCCTGAAACCAATGACTTCACGTTTCCCAAGCTCCAGGAGGACCATGGGAGCCCCTGATGTGGCTCATCTCCAGCATGGGAGACAAAATCCATCCTTTGGGGAAAACCTGCCCCAAACCAGGGATGTGCAGACTCACCACTCACGCTGGGTACCAGCGAGCATGGGCTGTGATGGCACCGTGCCCAGCTCCAGGCCGAAGCATCATCTTAGGGGGGTGTCAGCTCCAGGGATAAGGCTACACTGCTGGGGGACAGCAGCATGGGGACACCAACTGTGCCCTCGCCATAATGGGAACTACTTAGACAGGAACATCCCTCCTTGTGGGATGCACCGCGCTGCACGGACACAGACCTGCGACAGCCCCAGCTCTGCAGGGTCCCCCGGCTCCTCAGCATGTCCCCTTCTAACTCAGGGGCAAAGCTCATCACCTGCTCCAAGGTTTCCAGTCAAGCAGACTGGAAAAAAAAGAGTCCTTGTAAGGTTTTAGATTTTTTTTTCAGTATTCCACCTTAAATGTTTTTACTGCGACTTGCGATGGTTATTAGTCCGGCATGCAGAGTGCAGCAGGGCTGGCCATACCAAAGCAGATGACGCGCTCTGATTCAGACTAGAGGGCCAAGGTGAGCCACTTACCAAAGACCCCCGCTTGTATTGACTATACCATGTGGAAGGCTGTTCTTTGGGCCAACGAGCCATTTTACTCTGTAAAATATGACACGGGTTAAAGACAACAGAAAGCACCAAGATGCATCTTACCAGTTTACCGCGCTTGAATTCACTGAACCAGGAGCCCGGGTTTTCCTTTGGCCAAGAAGTAATTCTAGCCTAGTTTGTGGACGGCAAGGAGGAAAGAGAGAAAGAAAGAAAGAAAGAAAGAAAGAAAAAAAAAAAGAAATAAAAAAAAAAGTTACATTCAGTTCCACAAGCAGAGTCTGCATGTCTTATTGAAACTGTCCAACTGCCTTGAAAATGTTTTCTTAATCTTTATACATCAGTAACAAGACCAGTTGGTGGGGCCCTCAGGCGCCACCAGCCTCCCAGCAGAATGGGACAGCGTGGTGCTGCCCTGGGCGCTCAGCACTGCCTCAGAACCAGCCTCCTTTGCTGAGAGCTAATGATCTCTGCCTCCTGGATCCTTTGGATGCAAAACCAGCAGTGCAGTCCATTGGCAGGAGAGAGGAAAGGAAGGATAGAGAGGAGAAAAAAGGGAAATAACAACAGCGAAAGATCATTGATCTTCATGGGAGGGCAGGGGTGGAAAAGCAATGCTGATCACTCTAACGTCAAATCCGGATGCTGCGGGGCTGGGAAAGGCAAAGAGTGATGAAGGAAAAGTGTCTGGCTGCCTCCTGCGTTCGGGCAGCAATAAGGCGCAGCACGGGCAGCGCATCCTCCGCAGTTGGTGCTGGACCATCGCCCGTAACGGGGCTTCAACTACCCAGAGCGACGCAGGGGGTGACCTTGGCAGGAAATGAGCTGCTGGAGCATCCTTTATGGCAGCCCCATCTAAGTAGCTGAATCACTTTGTTTGAGTCAGAGCCCAAGGAAGGAGCGTGGCTGCTGTCTGCTCCCTTACCCTCCCACATGCTCCCTCCATTCTGCCGTAAATCTCCCCAAAAAACAACAGCCGAGCTATATACAGGTGTCTTGGGATTGTCCTTTCCTTTCCAGTACGTGAACCATAAAGCAAGTCAGCGTGTTTCTGCTGGGTTAAGGATGCACTGAAAGGGGATACGACTTAAACTCTGCTGTGGCTTATAATAAAACCACTCAACCAATGCTTAATGCTGGTGTGGTAGCTGTTTTCATTCCTGCACAGGAAAAACTGCAGCCTGAAGCTCGCTCTTATTTACGACAGTATTGCAAAAGCATCGCACAATTTGCATTCGAGCAGCACAGCTGCAGTCAGAAGAGCAGCTCCACTGTGGATGAGATGGGCAGAGCGAGCACGGCCGGAGCCTGAGCAGCCGTGAGATCCCGGGCAGCTCCGCTTTTCCAGCTGTCAATGTTCTGAGGACAGCCACGGCGAGTTAACGCAGAGGAGAAGAAATCCATCTCCTATTTAAACAGCCCTAACAAAAACTCAAGGAAGATTCATGTTATGTGTTATTTGTCCTGTGCTGACACATATTTCTGGTGGATAAAATTCAGCAAGCAAATGGCTTTCACTGGAGCACACAGCTTCATCTGCACTTTAACCCAGCTGGACACAGAGCAAGCTCCCCAGGTCGCTCTGCAAGAGTTTCTGCCTGGCCAGTGCGAGAGCAGCTCTGGGAAACAGAATCCTGGGTACAGGACAAAAATGATGAGTGTGGCTGAGCTAAGCACCTCATTACACAAATAACTTAATCAACTTTGGGTATTGGTGTCAGGAAGAGCGCTGAGGCTGGTTGCAATCATTTAGCATCGTCTACCCACACGAAACACCAGAAAAAATGACAGGAGAGAAATATTTTATTTGCCCTGCTTGAAGATCCACTAAGGGTAGAGGAATCAGTGGTGCTTGGGCAGCCCGGCTGCAGGAGGGAAGACAAGGAATGGGTTAAATGAAGCTCTCAGGGAGCCGCAGCTCGTGCTCCAACACACATTTCTGCCTTTGGAAAGCAAAGTGAAAAAACGAAGGTTTTCGCGTTTATTATGCCTGGGAAATCATCAAAGACTTGTCTCAATCACGTTTAAATCTGACTCAAAGAAATTCTCTTTGTAAACATATTCCTTATTATCTTAGAAGCCAACGTTGTGTAACAAAGAAACGTTCTGGATCTTTAATCCCTTACTTGCTATTGTTCAATTCTCCTGAAATTGACTGTCTATGAATATTCATATCGGGAAACAATCTCTTATCACCATGATACAGGGGAAAAAGAAAAAAAGTTGTGTGGACTTACTCCTTCAGACTTCTTATCAGGGAAGATGCAAGTCTCTCCACCAGCTGTGAAATTACAGTAAACTTTGAAAGAGTCCCTGGAACATCCCTGGTTAGGATCAACCCAGTATTCACCTGGATGCACGAGAGGGAAGAGAAGGCAAGAAAGAATCAGCACTGTGCAGGAAGGACGATGGGCACTCCAGCAACCATCTCTCCAGGGATGTTTCAACTCTGTCACAGGCTACTATTTATACATATTTTTTTGAAAACCAGTTAAATTCTGATTCCATGTAATACTGTGGGACCTTACAGGAAAAGTTATTTTTCATCATATATCCCCATTCTTAAAATAGAACATTTCAGTTGGAAGCGACCTACAACCATCATCTAGTCCAACTCTTCTCTACGTATTCCTTCTTTGTCAGCCACATTCCTCATGGGGCACCAGGGCCAGGGACTCTCCAAATGACTTCTCTTCCTGCACTTGCTGTATTCACTGTGTGGAGCTGGGAGACCCTTCGTGTTTTCCCCCATACCCTCTCTGTCCCGGGACATACCATCTGGGAAATCGGGGTGACAGAGCTGCAGATCCTTGCAGGTCCGTGCTGGGTTATGTTGAGTGCCCAATGGATGCTTCATTTGCTCAATTTCCAGTTTCAAGGAATTCAGTGAGCCGAAAATTTCCTCCATGCCATCTGCATAGTCCATGTAGTTGTCGGCATTTCCATCGTCCACCAGCTGGCTGGCGTCAATATTTCGCCTGGTCCTCTTGGAAGCCTGGATGGGCAGCGGCTGGATGACTTCTCCAGGAGGACCCTGATTTGTGGGGAAAGAAGATACAACTTCTCATTGGATTGGTGATGGGGAAGACACAGAAGAGATGGCCAAAGCAGCCACCAATGCTGAGCAGCAGCATCACAAGATACCCACTAGACATGTAAAACACCCATGACGGTACTGATAAAAACCCTGGCCACCAGGCTTGAACATTGGCTCCATCTTCTCTTGTCATCTTCCTGTTACTAACTTCTCCCTTCACATCCCGCTTCCTTCCCCAGCATCTCTAAGAGACCCCAATCCATTGCTGGGGATATGTCGAATCTTTGTCCAGAAATTTTCTACTTCCTAACACTACAACATCCATTAAATCTGAACCTCATTTCACACTTCATCTAATAGGTTCTACTTACAGGAGGCCCTGGGGGCCCAGGAAGACCCGATTCACCCTTTGGACCTGTTGGACCCTGGGTGGAAAAACAAGAGAAAAACATATGAGTCACTGAGGAAAAAGCACTTGTCAATTATATCGCATCCCAAACGTTATTTCTTTTAATAGTCTCTTGTAGCAAAAAACTTTCTTCCTGTCCCTTCAGGCACACAAAAGGAGTCTCCTCACCACTCTCCCCCAGGAAAATGTTTGTTTTGGTTATTTTTGATGCTAAGTAAGAGAAAAAGATCAAACACTTGGTGTTAAACAGTCAAATTTTGCTTAGGCTTCCTACGGAAAAGGAAGGATCTTCCAATGCATGAAAATGTTAACCCTCCAAATCAATTCAACAGTTTTAGAAACCAAACCAAATCTTAAAATTAATAAAACATTGAATTCTGCATGGGAAAAAGACTTTAGGAAGTCGCCCAAGAGGAATTTTTAGCTGCCTGCACAGGAGATGTGTAACATGAAGCTTGCTTCAGCGTCGCATCTCTCACCGAGCTCTTCGCCTTTCAGCTTCCCACCTCCCGCTTCACGGTCTATTTTTAACACCCTCCGCTTTACAGCAGGAGGTTTTCTCCTAAGGACTATGCACTGGATGCCTCCTTATGATCTCTGCTGCACTGATGTTCACTGAAGTACAGTGTGAGCAACAGAGCCCTTTCCTGATGACAATTTCTGGGCTCAGCCAGCCTGAAAAGGCTGCAGTTGCCACCGTCATCCTCGGCTAATTGCCTTAAGGCCACTGATGGGGAGAAGTCGCAGCAGGTTACACACTTAATAAGAGCTCCTCAGCCTCTTCATTTAACAATGTCTATACTCACTGATGATCCTTTAGCACCTTTGGGACCAGGTGGACCCTGTATAGAGAAAAAAAGTACAGAAAGGAGTCAGTACGTTTCCTAGCAGAGGAGTCAGCCTCTCCTTAGAGACACACACAGCAGCGCTGTACAAGGTTGGTGGTTTTTCAGTTAATTCACTTCCTTTCTGTTTCCACTTTTCACATCCACTTGAGTTCAGTGTTGCTTTTATTTGCCAACATATAAAAAGCATTTGTGTCAGATCGATCTGTGTCAGTGCTCCGCACTCCTGCCCGGATGGGGACTGGAAAAGCTGCTGTGTGACTACTGTAACCCGGGGCTGATCCGGGCTCCGTGCTAAGGACACCCAGCAATGCCAAATGCTGGTCACCCAAGGGTGCCAGCTGCAGCCTTTGGGTATCCAGTGGAAAAAAAAAAAATGCAAATAGCAAAAAGTACAAAAAAAAATCACTATGTGATTGTAGATAATCCAAAAAGACATAAACAAGGTGGGCTAATTTCCCTGCCTCCATCACACTGTGTCCCCTGGCCCCATCTCTCAGCTCATGTGTCACCCCCCAGTACTGCTGTGACTTGAATTTCAAGAGTTTTTAATGGGCTGAGCCAGGCAAACCCATTGTCCATCAGCATCTTGGTGCAAGGTCAGGGCAGAAGGACGGAGCTGAGTATCTGGGAGAACCAAGGTGACCTCAGAAGGGCTGTGAAGCTCCCGAGTAACTAAAAGATAATTACTTGTCACATACCGGTAATCCTGGTGGCCCTGGAGGTCCAATTGGTCCAGAAGGACCCGTGATACCCTGAAAAACAAAAGTGGAACAACATTGATTTGCATGCAGCGATGCTGGCCTATAACTACTCAACTAATTGCCGCTCACAGATGACCACCCAGTTTTGGATGACTCCATTCAAATCTGGAGCTTCAACTGTTCTTTAAACACGTGCATGATCTAGACAAGGGCATGATCAGGGAATCTCATAACACATTTAAGTGTACAGTTTTAAATATCAGTCCTCTAAATGCGTATTTAATGTTACTGTCCCTCCAAGTCTATTCAACTCTTTTCATATGACCCTTGAGAATCTGCTTTCTACTAAAATGGATCATTTTGGACCATCTCTACATATCACATGTAGAATAAACTAAATTAACATAGACAATATCCCTCAAAAATTAGCATGAGTCTCCTGCCGAGGTTGACCACCACTGCTATGCCGTACCTGCTCAAAGTCAGCAAACACCACAGCTCAAAAGCACATTTGATTAAGGTCTTATGGAATATTTACCTGCTCTCCTTTGGGTCCTGCTGAGCCCTGGGGGCCTGGGAGACCTCTGTCACCCTTTTCTCCCTGCTCTCCCGGTGGTCCAATAAGACCAATTAAACCTGGATGACCCTGAGGAGAAATAGCAGATGTTAATTACGATCTCTCACCGGAGATAACCGGATGCCAAAGCTACCCATACAAACCCAAATATCTAAGCAAGGTGGCAGAGTTTGTAGCTATCCCTGACACCTGGAAGTGGCAGAGCAGAGAAGAGCACTAGCTCTTTGCAACAGAAAATGCTACAAGTATAGAAAGAGAACGGCAGCACCGACTCATTTCCTGCACTAACATATATTACCTAAATTTCTACAAGATTGAGAACCATGCCCTAAAGCAAGCCGGGTGCCTCTCCCCATGCCCCCCTCCTAAAGCACCCGTGTTCAGGCAGCCCCAACAAGTAGAGCTGCGAGGGCTGACGTAGGGAAACGTGGAGATTCAGATCCGCCGTGTCACCCGGTTGTCATCAGTGCAGGTGATACAGGGATGGGAAACCTGGTCTGGGATCCAGACAGGCAGTGGCACGTGCTCACCCACAGCACAACCCGGTTCATCCCTTGGGGCACACTCACAGCTCTCCATCTCTGCTCTAAAGATACATCCAACGCTTCCAGAGTACGAGAGCGCACACGGGGCCGGTGGCACTCCTCAGCCCTGTCCTGCCAGCTGCAGGACCCTTCTACAATGACATTTTTTTCCCCACACCCAGACACAGGCATCAGGTCATGCAGCAAGATCCTGTGTGCCATTCTCACCTTCTCTCCTTTAGGACCAGAGTCTCCTTTAAGACCAGGCAAACCTGGTGGGCCCTTTGGGAGACGGGGGTGGGGGGGAACAAAAGAGAGAATGAATTCATGTAAAATGCATTCTTTCATTTCAAAAACTGATGGAATTTGACAGTCTGCACATACCATTGGGCCTGGAGGACCATCTGGACCAGGGGATCCTGGGAGACCTTGTTCACCCTGTAAAACACCACAATTCCCTCAAAACAATCATTCGTGACAGCAGTGCTCCCAGCTGGGATTATTCTGATTATTCACCTGTCCTTATCTGGTCCCTTTGCCAGGGAATGTTTGCTCTGGCTTCTCACAGATGGTAAAGGCAAAAAGATTTGTGTTCCTTTTGTGCTCAAATCTCTAGCGGAACAGGAACTTTGGAGCTTATGGAAATGTTACCCCAGAGAGTGGGTGAGCGGACCCAAGACTCAAATAAAACATGCTGGAAGACGATATTCACTCTTATATTAGTTCCTCTAAAGATGTTTTATCTGCTGTCAGGCATTTAAGCATAGACAGAACATTTCACTGGGAGAAAGGCGTCTTCCAAGGCAGATGGGTTACGGTAAAGCATCAGGAACAGCCCTGCCCAGAAGCTTTCTCAGACTTTGCTCAGTTTGAGAATACTCACGACTGGACCAGGAATTCCTCGGAGGCCATCAGGGCCGGGCTTCCCTGGAGCACCTTGAGGACCAATGGGGCCAGTCTTCCCAGGAGGTCCTTCCAAACCAGCTTCACCCTAGATGCAAGAGGCAGCATGATTTAATCTGCATTGGGGCATCAAATGACCTTCTCAAACACGCTGTGGGTGCTTCTAGGATGTCAGAGAGTGAACACAATTCCCTGAAAAGCATGTAAAACTTTCTGTTCATTGATCTTCCTAGAGTTTCCTACCCCTTACATGCCGAGGACAAGTCTCCAAACTCCTTCACCTTTCAGCCTTGCCTATTTCTGCTGATTTCCAACAGGAAGAGCTGTGAGCTCTTCGGAGCAGAAAGCTTTCCTGGGTTCAGTCCTGGGAGATGAGCTAGCAGAGAACATCCTCCACCATCAGCGTTCCTGCTGCTGCCACGACAATTGGATCTATAATTTGCAATCCCACTCTGCATTTCCCCACCACCCATACCAAAATAATCATGGTCCAACAATGCTGTGTTTGCCCTGGGAAAGGATGCAGGGTTGGGCATACTGTATTATTTACAACATATTAAACTGCCAAATACGGCACTTCGCCATTTCAAAACAAGAAAAACATTCCCATGACCTTACCGAGCTCTAATTATCTCCACAGAGTTTGTTAAAAGATGAAACACAAGCCTAGATTTGAGGCCAACGGCCCCAAATTCAGGCTAATTTGTTGTAACACACTGCAAAATCAAACTGCTGCCTTTCAAACACCAGCATTGTTGCAGGGTGATCCTTTTGGCATACAAAGGACATGGTAGAAGTGCAATCCCATTCAGCTCTTACCTTGGCTCCTTTCTCTCCTTGTCTTCCTTCGGGACCAGCAGGACCAGGAGGGCCCTAGAGAAAACACAAAATAGATGCAAAACACAACTAGATCACACTGATCTGAAACGCTCTCTTGGAATTAGCAAAATGATGCTACGGCCCCAGGGAAGAAGACAAAATGGAGACAAATATCTCTGAAAAACTTTTTAAATTAGCTTCTTGCTAAATGAATCCCTGGGCTCTGCCCACGAGGCAGGAAGAGCAGAAGCACCTCATACTTGTGTTTTCTTTAAGGTGTTAAAATCTGAAAAAAATCCATGGGATTCAGCTGACAACTTCCCATCAATTTCCAATGGCTGTGGATGGTGCATACATTTTTAATTATTATTATTATTTATTTGACACGCTACTGCCTCGCATTTACTGTAGACCTAGCAAGAACATTCGCTTCAAAAAGTCCATACAAATACATTTGGAAAAATACTCCTTAAACAATCAGCTTACCCTTTTTCCTGGGGGTCCGGAGGGGCCCGGCTCTCCGGTGGGACCAGGGGAACCCTAGATGGAGAGGGGAGGAGAACAAGCCATAACTGCACCGCCCCACAGGGGAGGGAGGGGCAAACGTGCAAAACTCGAGTCGAGATGCAGAGTTTACGGCGAGGCGCGGGCGGGCGGCGCAACGCCCGGCTCCTCCGCGGTGGTGCAGGCGGTATCTCCTTTTATCCCTTCCCACCAAGAAACACCATAAGGCACGGCCAAGTTAAAACGAAAGACTTAGATTTTTGTTTTTCCATAAGTTAATTTTTGCTTTCAGCAGCCTGGCTGGATGCTGCGGCCAGGCTGACATGGACAGGAGGGAGGACAGGACCAGACAGGCATCAGGGGACCAGGGCAGCAGAAGCTGGTGGGAATTAGATGCCGTATGTTGTTCTGTGTTAAAAGGTCCTGGATCTGCACACAGAAACCTGATGGGGAACAGATCTCATCCATCCAGTTACTCACAGTCTGCCCAGGTTCGCCATCATCACCTTTGTCACCAGGGGGACCATCCTGACCCTAAAAAGGAAGAAGGAAACAAGCAGGAGTATTTAGGGTACAAACAGCGTTGAGCAGAGTGAGTGCTGGTGTGGTTCAGCTGGTCTTTGCATCACTGGGCACCCCTCCTTCTTGTCTCCCATTGGGAACAGTGGCATCAGCCAACGTCCTGTGTCAAATATCGTGGATAGCAGCATGCGGATAGCTGCTGCCCCAAAGGCTGCAGCATGGGCAGACGAGCAGTCTCATGGTGAGACTTCCTACTCTTTCCTGAGTAAAGGAAGAGTAAACGCCAGAGGAGCTGCTGGCAGCTGAACAGCACACAGTCGTATTTCACAAGAGTCATATTCCACCAAGAGGAGGAACCTAATGGTCCTTCTGTGAGACACACACTTACAGCTGGACCAGGTTCTCCAGGAGGACCAGGGTCACCGGGAAAACCAACTGGACCCTGCAAAGAGAGAAGAAGGATATCCCCAAGTCAGAGATACTGCGTCTGGAGAATCACAGAGCACTCGTGCCTGCCAGCCCAGTGACAACATGGGGAGCCAACCCTGCGGAGCAAAACCCCAGCCCCCTACCCTCAGACACAACCCCAGATCACAGCCCATCTTCGCACCTTCAGTAATTTCATCCTGTCACAGCCACCAGTTCAGCTCTGCAACACGCAAAGCTCCAGAGCCAACACTGGGAGCTTGATCTACTTCATAAACGCATCGGACAAGTGACAGCGGAATCCTCGCAGCTTTGGGGAACGGGCAGATTAGAAGATTTTGTTTTTGCTTACTACATGACGGGTAACATTTTTCACATGAAGATCCTCTCAAAGCATTTAATGACTGAAACACTTCACCATTCTTCTCCGTACAATGTCTATTGTGCACTTCAAATGATTCTGAGACCAGCGTTCAGACAATAGGCTTCAATCAATAAGGTGATATCCCAAAAACCCATCTGTTACGAGAGATGACTAACTCCCTTGCCTCCTCTGCTGTTTCATGCCATCTTTGCTTATCGCATAATAAATTTCTTCAGCCAGCAAGCATCAAAGAAGTCAGCAAGATAAATACTGTACCATTGTCATCTGATATAAATCAATATAGCTCTACTGGCTTTAATAGAGCTACAGCAATTAGCATCAGCAGGGATCTGACCCTAGAGGTACAACTCCCAAATTCACATAAATCTCCTCCATGCTATCTTGGAAGCTTCGCTCTGGTGCAGAGGACCTTGGCAATGCATAAGCTCAAGTGCAAAGCAAACCTACTGCAGGCCCTCTCCATAGAGGTGAGTTTTCTGATAGCCTGCAGAAAGGACTAATAATTCAACTATTGCTGGAAGATATGGTACGACTGGGTCTTCTCCTCATTAGCATGATAAAGGAAAGGGACCAACATCACATATCGTTAGAGAAGCAATTCTCTGGCTGGTAAACTATTTCAAATTTCCAGAAAAAACTCTGGAAAACATCTTTCCGTGCAGAAATCTCTGCTGGGCAAGACAAGGAACCACTGCTTGGACAAGAAGAGGCACTTACAGGGCTGCCTTTGGGGCCGTCATCGCCTGGTGGACCTTTGGGGCCAGGTGGACCAGCAGCACCCGAGGGACCTGCTTCACCTTTTTCACCTCTTTCACCTTTAGGACCCTGTAAAGGAAAGAGAGTGTTCCTATTATCCAGGAAAACAACTCACCAATCTCTAATCAGCCTTTAATCGATTCTGAGAAAGCAGCTCTATTTGTATCTCAGAACACGAGGACATGATTTAGCAGTCCCTTCCCACAAAGACTAAATGGTGTTCGTGTTGTTCAGTCGTGGGTAGCCCATATTCGGTGACTAAACGTTATCCTACAAATATCCAGTAACGTGGCAATGTGTCGCCCGATATCCAAACCAAGGACATGGCTGGTTCAGTCCCTGCAGCCCCATCCACATCCATGCCCCTCCGACACCCCTTCAACCAGCTCCTCAGAGGACACCACTGAAGAAGAGCTCTTCTCCATCAGAGCAGGAGCCACCCCATAGCGTACTTACCGGAAGGCCAACCTCGCCGGGAAGACCAGGCTCACCAGATTCACCAGGTTCACCCTGCAGAGGGGAAAAGAGGACAAGCACACTCATATTTCTGCAGGGTGCTGAGGTTGCTGCTGATGTAGCAGAGCCCCTGCACGAGCATCATAGCAAACTCCTCTGGGCTTCAATCAGGCTTGTCTGGATGCTTTACCTTCTCTCCTACGGCACCAGGATTTCCTATTCCCCCGGGAGGACCTTGTGGACCATCTGCTCCTGGTGGTCCAGATGGACCTCTGGGTCCAGGTGGGCCTGGCGGGCCCTGAGAGAAAGGCGAGACAAATTTAAGATGTTTCTTGGAGTAACGTCTATGTCAGTAATAAAAAAAGAAGTACGAAAACATCTTACCATTTGCCCAACATCACCTGTCTCTCCCTTCTCACCAGGTGGTCCAGGCAAGCCCTGTGGAGGTGGAGGAGATGAGTTTTAGCTGAGAACATCTCAGGTGGAGCCCCAGCTCTCATCACCCTAAGCCCTCTCTCGATGCTGCAAATTACCTGCAAGCCCACTGGGCCAGGGGGACCGGGGAAACCTCGGGGCCCTTCATCACCTTTCTGACCAAAGAGGCCTTGCTGTCCTCTGGGACCCGGCTCTCCATCGGCACCCTACAAGGAAAGAGTCTAACACAGCTTAGCAAAGACACGAGGTAGATGCAAAGCCCCATCCCCACCACCTCCTGCAGCCACCAGTGGCGATGTCCTGCTCATGTTGGGCATCAGCAGTGCCAGGCACAAACTGCCAATCCTTACAGTGCTTCCCAGGAGATTTTATGGTAAGAAAACGGATTTCTGCTAATGGGGGACAATACTCACAGCTGGGCCAGGCTGACCGATGGGACCCTGTGGGCCGGTAGGACCTGGTGGACCCTGTCACGAAACAGAAGTGCCATGTCACCGTTAAGACCACCAAGTAAAACAACTCATCTGGAAAAGGTGATGCCCTTCAACACAGCCCCTACTAAACATGCATTAATTCCCAAAACAGAGAGAGAGGGCAGGGTCAAGTGTCCCCAGACACACCAGCAGCCCTCAGCCCTGGTGCCAACGGCACGGCAGACGTGTCTAAACACGTTTTTGCTCCAGCAAAGCAACATCACTCCACTCAGTTCTCTCCAGATACTTGTGTGTATCTAGACATCCTTAGGTGTAAGTATCTGGAGCAGCACATAAAGGGGCTATAAGTAACTAGAAGAGCTACAGCCAAGCACCCAGCTTCAATGGCAAGGGCTGCTAACGCTGCACGGATATTTCCACAGTACATGGGTGACATGGAAACATCTCAATGTGTTCCTGGGAACACACACCAGGCACTGGCTCTTTTTTCCATCACGTAGGTATTTGATGAAGCAAAGGAGATGATGAAGCCAGGAGAGAAAGAAATTAAAATAACATTGTTTTCAGTTTCCAGCAAGTCGCACGACATAATCGCTCTCCCCCAGGGAAGTGGCTGCGCTGACGTCCCCCCCACTCACCTGCTCTCCCTTGTCGCCCTTGCTGCCCTTCTGGCCAGGCTCCCCGATCTCGCCCTGTCCAGTACAAAGGAGCACAGTTAGTTTACTTGGGGACCACTTCCACACCTCAGCATTCAAGCAATAGTCCTGTAGGCTTGCACCCTCATCCCAAAGATGCCAATTCCCACAGAAATACCCCAGAAGGTTCTGAAAAAGGCCAGAGGTTTGGCTGCTCCATGTATAACCAAACCCTTCTGCATCCTAAACCTTCCCTTAGCTGCCATGTGATGCAAGAAGCATCGTTCTGCAGATCTTGTTAGCAGCGATGAGCGACTGGTTCCAGCTAATATTTTCTAAGAATCCTCCAGCCCAAAGGGGCTTAATGAGAGAGTGGGGAAAGGTAATTAATTGGGAAAGGCCAGGCACTGGTGGGCAGGCCACCTGCTACAGGCTTCAGAGGAGGCTCACTGGATTTCAGCGAGCGGCGTGGCTGGCCGAGCACCCCCAGCCCACCCTGCCTGCGGCTCCCCACGTCTCGCTGGGATCACCAGCACCATAAAACATCCTTGTGCTGCGACCAGCAGCACATCCAGCCCGACACGGCGGGTCAGTGCGGTGGCAACAGGGCACGTTGCCCGGTTCCTTCCCAGAGTGACCCCGTGCAGCAAGGAGCTGCTCCCACCTTGTCTCCATCCTCTCCGGGGGGGCCCACAGGACCTGCTGGACCCGGTAGTCCCACGGGGCCCTGGATGCCGTCCCGGCCAGCTGGTCCTTGAGGACCCTTCTCGCCCTGGAAGCAGAAGGAGCAGGCAGGTCATGCAGAGCTCTCCTCCACCCTCAAACCGATCCATTACATCGCATTAACGTTCTATTCAGCTGCTAATAACCCCGGACTATATGGGCACATATAGCAAAACCGGTTTCCAGCTGATATTTCATCACACTCTGCTCAGTCTGAAACCAGACAAAATTTCTATCTCAATAGAGAAAGAAGGAACAAACAGTGAATACCCAGATCACAGCTGCAATTTCACTGCTGTAGCAATATAATCAGATTTAATCTGAACCCTCTGCCATCTCTCTCTGGATGACAAACAAGACCCTAATTAATTTTTATTCCCACAAGCCAGTTTTTACTGGTTGTGGCCCTGGCTGCCCCAGCACCTACTGCCTGCTCCCTCCCTGGCAGATCCCCAACTAATGGGGGTTTCTCAGGAGGCTTTGAGATCCTTTCAGAGATTCTGGACAAAGGAAAACACCTGAAGGGAATAGAGAAATCTCTGCTGGCCTCCTGCTTAAACATCTACTTGTATTCCTCAGACCTGGAGCCTTCAATCGAATTTGTTTGTTTACGGGAACTGAACAGTGGATATTTTTCAGTTTCCTCATACATAATTTAATTGCATCTGAATCTTCTGAATAATTAGATGCCACATAAATTGCCTATTCATCTATCCACCGATACATGATATAGGTACTTGGCAGGACAGATGTTCATAAAGCTGATTCACCAGGAAATTCTTGCCTCTGGACTAGCTGCTGGAGTTTCTAATAAGCCAGCAAATGAGGAAAACAGCGGCTGATAAACACTTTTGATAACAACAATCAATCACCGTAAGTGTCCTCATCTAGTCTGACATCACCCATGCCAGCACTGGCGCGTTTTGCTGGGTCTGAAGCTCAGCCTTAAGTTGGCCAAAGTCCCTGCAAAACCATTTGGGAGTGAATTCGAGGCACAGCCTCCCTCCTCCTCGGGACTGTCACGGCACCATCGTCTTCAGAGACAGAAATAGCCATCCCAGCCCACTCTCTCCTGCCCGCACGTGGCATGTTCTGCACGTGCCTGGGGAGCGCAGGACGTGCGAGTTTGCGCGGGCTGGGGAGCGCTGCGGAGAGGGACCATATGGCAGGGCTCGGCACGCTCCGCTCCGGCTCCACGGTGAGCGGCTCCTTCCATGGTGCCGGCGGGATGCCTGGGAACACGGGTGCTGCGGCAGCACGTGGCGTCCTGGGGAGCGGCGCCGAAACCTCCGCAGCACCTTCCCGTGCTGCCCCTTGGCCAGGGCAGAGCGAGGGGGAGGATTTATTCGGGATCAGTGGAAATCGTTGCCGTTGCATCCTTGTAAGCAGCGGCGGGGCTGGCTCACTGCTCTGCCCAGAGGCTCGTCCTTGGGCTGTTTGTCACTAGGAAGTCACACAGGCTGTCACTGTACCTGCTCAGTTCTCATCCCTTCTCATTGCCTGAAGACATCTCGGTCCCTGGGATCACATCCATTTTTGATAGCACTGGTGTCTCAAACAGGGCGGTTGAGCAGCTAACGGTCAGGGTTTGCTACACCCAAGATGACAAAAGTCCTTCCTAATTGAACTCCTCCCCTTTTTTAAAAAAAAAAATCTTTTCTACACCTACCCCAGGGAATGTCTCCACACTCAGCTTCCTACTACCCACGTTTCTATTCGACCCACAGCTGTTAACCTTTATACTGGTACTTACTGGGGCTCCCTTTTCACCTGCAGGTCCTGGAGGTCCCTGGGGACCAGGTCGCCCTGGCAAGCCTATGGGGCCGGCTGATCCCGCGGGCCCACGCTCACCGGGAGAGCCCTGTTTGGAGAAGAAGGAAGGAAGCGTTAACTGGAGTATCGAGCTTCATCCACAAACAGACAGAAAGAGATCCAGCAGTAGGATGCAGCAAATGCATCGTCGGTAAGTGAGCACGTTTGATGGGGCGACTGCCACAGAATGACTTAGTACCATCAGCCCAAGGGGTCCTGCAGATCTTTTTTTAACTGAAATCCCTGGAAGGGCTTAGTTCTCTTCTGGATGGTGCAGCGAGCACAGTTCCTGGGGGCACATCATCAGCTTGGAACAAGAGCATCAGCCACTTCACGGCCAAAGCAGCAGGGAGGGCTGGATGCTGGATGATGAGTATTTTCTTCCAAGAGAGCTGCACTGAACACGAGTCTCAAGTGGGGACAACTTTCAGAGGGAAAGCACAATTCTCCATGTCCTGAATCATCCCTGTTCCCTCAGCTTGTCACGTATGTCCACAGCTGACTCCACAGAACAACTGAGCTATTACATGCGTGTCTTGTAAAATAAAGCAATATCCAGCGAGCAGTTCGTTAGTGCGGCAAAGGAAATAACGGATAAAGTGCTGAGCTGTGACTAACCCTCCGTTTTGCCTTGCCAAGCTCGTAAACATGTTAGGTGGTGCCTGTAAGGGCAAGGATACTCACTGCTGGACCGGGGGGACCTGGGGGACCTTCGTTGCCTTTCAGCCCTGGAGCACCCTGAAGGGAGGAAAACAAAGTCATTTTGGGAGGTGGGTGCTGCACCACCTGGGCATCCCGCCCGCTGGAAGGACCGGGCAGCCTCTACTCACGATGGGGCCAGGGAGACCTCTCTCTCCAGGGAAGCCTCGCAAGCCCGGGGGACCGTCCTTTCCCGGGAGGCCGGCGGGACCAGGGTCCCCCTGCAACGACAGTGATAAATAGCTGAGGATCTGCAGACTCCGTAGAGACCCAGCTCCTCCCTCCAGGCTCAAGTCATGATGAGACACTGCAAAACATCATTTCTTCTCTGAATCATCCCCCTCCATCTCTGGGAGAGAGGCAGGCATCCAGGCTTGCAAGGAGGGTGAATTCAGAAGGGCTGCTGGTCCCTACCTTAGTCCCTTCTTTTCCAGTGAGGCCAGGGAGACCTTGTTCACCTGGAGGACCTGGAGGGCCTGGATGTCCTCGCTCACCCATTGGCCCAGTTTCACCAGTTGGACCCTAAGGAAAGAGAAATCGAGGAGAAGGCGGTCAGTACCAGCAAGAGCAAACAATGAAGGAAGAGGTGCCAGCTATTAGTTTGCTCCTTTAGGTTGCAATGGGATGGCAGATGCTCCTTCCCTTAGCTGTTCTGCGCAGTGCCACCGGCAATCCCTGCAGAGATGCCTCCTTTGGCATCTAAAGGGACTTTGCTTTGGAAGTGGTCAACATTGCACTTGACAGACTACAGGCATTGGGAACCTCTGCAACGAAAGCATTCACATAAATGAGATACTACCACAATTATTATGCTTAGTTTGTCTGTTTGGGTTTTTTTTAATTGAAAACTTCCTAAGTATTCTACAATCATGCTGATTCTTCCTTATATGGGGCATAAATAATGGATTAGGCTTGTATTACACGGCAGTTACCGACTGCCTCTGTGCTGTACGTGGGCACTAATTGTGACGAGCGTAACATAAGGCCCAGTGCAGAAGGTTCCCAAGTGGCCCATTCTGGAGGAGGGAAAAAGCCATATGCACAAGACTATACCGTCCCTGCACGTAGGTGTCCGCTGGGACGGTGGCTGTAATTCATGTCACGCCGCAGGGTGCCACTTAGTGCACGCAGAACGATAACACTGCGGTCGCTCAGCAGCCACAGATCACGCTAACTACACGCAGCGGAGCCAAACAAAATTGCCATAGAACCTAATTTGCACTTGAGAAGACAGACACAGTCAGGGAATCGCCCCTAACCAGAGACTTTACACTAACGTTAAAGAGGACAAATCAATTACTTTGCAATTAAAGAGCAACTTCCCCGGCAGCCGGGAAGGCAGACTCAACCCAAAGCCAGTCCTGCTCAGTCTGGGACTCTGCCCACAGAACTGATGCACGAGCCTTCCATGCCTGTTCTTAAGGGTACGAATTCTGGTGGTGCAGTTACAATTTCCAGATTGTGCAGAGTTTGTTGGGACTAAAAGAAAATCAGCCCAACTCTGGCAGAATCTAGCAGCACTTCATGTTAGAGAGAGATGTATTTCTTCATAGCGACACATACGAGCACTCTTGCATCACGCTTACACACTGCCCTGAACATCCCAGCAGCTCTACACCCCTTTGAGATACAGCTGCTTAAGGTCTTTAGGTCAAGTTGTGTGTAGCTGGTTGGTCTCTCACTCTACACCAATTTTACACCAAAGTAGTTCTGTTAACGTTCACAGGAGCCACCTTATTTACTGCAGCCTTCAGGCACGTTTGTCTAAACACCATCCTAACGCCTCGACAAGGTGGGCTGGGACCCATCGGGGTATTTCAAACCCTGGCCAGGAATTTCAGAGCCATCAAGCTGGCTTCAACACGACTTTGTCTTTCTCTGGAAGAGGAGTCTCTGTGCTGTACAACCTGCGGTCCCAGCAGCTCCAGCTAAACCATCACAGCTGCAAGAGCTGGCTGTGCCATGCCAGGGAAGATGAGCCACGAAGGGCTGGGTGCAAGCACGAGCATTCATTTCTTACCTGAGGGCCTACGACACCAGGTGGTCCTGGAGGGCCAGTCTTGCCTTGGAAACCCTGTTAGAGAAAGGGAAAAGAGAAAGAGATGATGCTCCTGCAAGGAGTGCTCCAGTAAGGGTCACCAGCTGCCACCCAACTGCTCCTCCTCTGGTGAAACCACTGCCCAGGAATGGATGGACACCCAGAGACAAAAGAAACAAGAAATCCAACAGAAGGTGGAAAATATGTCCTTGTACATTTATACAGGGGTGAAACAGAGGAAGAAAAAGGGATCCTCAAAGCTCAGCTCTGTTGTTTCAATGGAGCTACTGTGGTTTGGCTGAAGGACTGGCCATATATATGTAAAAAAAAAATTTGCTACACTCGTCAAACCTATAGAGGAAATGGCTATTTAAAAGTCAGAACGTGCAGATTTCTCCATGCTGTGCAATTCTTAACAACCATGTCCCTTCTCCTGCTCCCCATTCTGGCAGTGGTTTAGGCTCAGCTCCCAGCAGCTCAGAGGCTGGGTGACCACCTTCCACTTTTGGCGCAGGCAGCACCCATCTCCAGCCCTGCTGAAGCCCACAACCCACCAGCCTCGGGGGCTGAGCGAAGCTTTATTTCCTCCATCAACATCTGCTGAAAGAAACCACAAACGTGTTTCTCTCCGACTGCTGATGAGCAGCGAAGGCTCCATGACGGCTACTTATAATGACATTTTGAAGAGCGACAATAACGAACTATCACCACTGCAATTGTTTAGCTCTCCTAAGTCACTCTTTAAAAGCACATTAATTATCATTCTTACTACAGCACGCTGACAAGCTTGAGAAGTGTCATTTAGGGCACACAGGCTATTTTCTCATTGCCACAAAAGATGATCAGATAAATCCCAAGCCAACAGTAATGTGTCACGCTAAAAAAAACCAACCTACTCAATGCTATTCTATAGCTGTCTGCAGATCACAGAGAATATCCTGTCATTGATGGGGAAACGGCAAAACATCTTTGTGAAATGAATGTACAATTTAAACTCTTATCTTAGAAAAATATTTCAGCCGGCTCTGTGCAGGACTTTCTTATTAATCTGAAGAAAGGGGTTTCCTTTTATCCTGTCTGAGCCTCGAGCACAGAGCGTTTAGAATTTTTTTCTTTTTTTTTTTTTTTTTAGATCCAATCTTTGTAAATCTAATATGGCCAAATACTTCAGCATCCTTCAGCATGCCTGTTTGTTACTAAATGAAAAGTAAAATAAAGGGAACTATTTGAGATGCAGATTTCAAGTCTGGCTTTTCTTGCATAAAGGTACAGAGTGCACTGACAAGGCTACTGATGTGGAAATAGTGTGTTTAATTCATTTTTATGTTTCTCTCCTCGCTTTTTGGCACTGTGTAAGGAAAGAGAGATAAAAAAGGGACTTCTGTTACCTGGGTCTGCACACATCTGTGTGCACCCCAAGAGGATTCAGGGGAAAGTGATCTTTGCAAGCTTGTTCATGGCACAGATTAACAGATTTTTGGTTATCTGGAAGAATTTGCCTGTGATGGGCAAACTACGGCTGCAATGAGTGAAGAAAGCTTTCGGGAGTATTTTCAGACCCCAAATAATTGAAAGCACATTCTCCATTCTTATTCTTGCAGACTTGGGAGTTTGATGCTTTATTCCAAGTTGATAACAGCAGATGGAAGTAAAGTTTTTACTACTACTTCTAATTTGAACGTAGGTGTCCTGGATGTTATAGATAACTCCATGAAGGAAGACTAAATGTCACAGTCAGGCTGTGGCAGGTGAAAACTCTTCTCTTCACCTGTAAATTAATCCTGACCTGAGGACTGTGTGTTCAAAAACACCACGACCGTTGCCTTAACGTCAGTCTTGCAGGGCGCAAACAAATACCCGGTGTTGCGCTGAGCAGTGTTTGCATTGCCTTGCTTAGCAAACGCCAGGCAAGTTAATAAAATTGTTGTGTGATAAGTCGAGAGGAAAAACTGCATAATGTGCAAAGCCTTTTTAATGCTCGTTTGCAGGGAAAGACAGTGGAGAAAAATGGAAAGCTGAACAGTGGAAGTTGGGTGTGTGGTTTTTTTTTTTTTCTTCCTGTAAAATACACACAGAACAAAAAGTCTATCTGCTAACATGCAGCATGTGGTGTCGGGGAGAAGGATGTGAACAACAGTGAACGAGTTGGATTGTAAACAGCTGAGGAAAAAGAATAAACATCCCCAAAAACGCCAAACAGAAAGATACTAATTACCGCATGCAGAAGAATACACGGCAGAAGGACCATTTTTGCTGAGGATACCCTTCAAGCAAAAAAGGGGCAGAAAACAGACCAGAGACGCACGACAGCCAGAGGATCGTACCTTCCACATGCCTCATCGTTCTCCTTTGGTGAGAAACAATGATTACGTCTGTGCGACAAGACCTTTTAAATCGGACAGAGCAGTACGCGTAGGATGCGGCGTGGTACCTAAACAGCCAGGAGCCACCCCCCGGGGCGCAGCAAGGGATTATTGCTGGAGGGGGCTTAAGGGAAACTTGGCGAGGCCCCTCTGCGTAGCTTTGGCTAAAAGGCAGCGTCTGCAGAGATGCTCTTCTTACTCGGGTGCTAAGGCAGCGGCTGACACACGAGCGGGCTGCAGTAACCAGAGCGGACAGAAAAACTACAGCAAAACCATTGCACCCCTTGGCTCGGCCAGGAACCGCCTTCCTCTCAAAATAAGAACTGCCAAAGCTGGGCTGTAATTCTTTTCTGCTGTGCAGCAGGTCTTGGTGTTCACCACACAGTGCACCAAGAAGCAAAAAAAACTTATTTCTCCCCATGGCAGGTTCCAGAGAAAATAAAACTGCTCCCGACCTAACGCAGCTGGGTGCAGAAAGCTGAGCTTGTGAAGGATGGAGCCCATCTCGCATGAAAAATCTCTGCTATGGCAGCCCTAGAGTCATCAATCTGGAACAGTGAGATGCAAAACCTGCACATCTCCAAAGGGTGGAGAGAGCACAGAAGTTACCCATAGTGCTCCAGAGAGCGGAGGCTCAGCCATCCCCCTTGGGAGGCCAAAGGGATGAGCGTTTTGCTTTGGCGAGTCCTCGGGGTACAGAGCCCATCCACGGGGGCTGCTCAGAAATCAACCCCCCGCTGCTTCTCCACCTCACAAGAGCACGTGCCACACCAAATGCTGGTTCTGACCCAGGCTCAGCCCCAGCCAACATCCTCCCACCTAGCAAGGAGCTGCCCCAGCAGTGTCTGCCACAGCAGAAACCCAACTGCCTCCGATGCCAGTCATCAGCATCGCTACATCTCTCCGTTCATGTTCTCTCCGTGCGTGATGCACGTGTTGACCTCCACAGTCAACTAAAGAGCCAGAGAGAGGAGCTGGTGCACAACCTTCACGTGAACCATCATTAGACCGACCCATCCTGCTCAGAAAAGGGTTGCTTCCCGTAGACCATCCTGTGCAGCTGGAGAGACACAGACCTTCAGGGAAACCAAACGTGCGGCCACATCTCCCCAGCTGCACAGAAGGGTTTAGAAAAACCAACCGGCAGGACAGGACTCAGGACTAATGATCTGCCCAAGAGTTTTGGCTACTTACAGTTTCTCCTCTCTGTCCGGGGTGACCAGGCAATCCATCCTTCCCAGGAGGACCCTAGAGCAGAAAACCAGGGTGAGAAGGAACATGACCACGTACTCAGCAGTGAAACTGTGATAAGAGCTGAATCAAATCTGCTTGCCTTCTTGCATTAGTTCCCACCCATTTTACAGTGAGATGGGGGTGCTCAGAGCCCTAAAAGATACGGCCTTTTCCCACACATCTCCCAAAGGAAAGATTTATCTGACAGGTGCAGAGGGGGAGCGAGCTGTTGACCGCAGGGAAGGAAATCACTCCAGTAAGGTTTCTGAGGTCCCCCACCAGTGTATCGTAATTGCAGAGATAGAAGTGTCACTCAGTTGTGCTGTCCTCCCAGAATCCAGAGGGAGAACAAAGAACAGAGCTACCCTGAAAGATCCTAGTGATATTGAGTCACTAGGAAATGAACATTTATAATCAGCCACAATTTACTCGGCTATTTAAAAATCTCAAACCGTCAGGTGATCATCATGATGTCTCAGAAATGCCTTTTATTGGGTATGTCACCACTTGTCAGAGAAGCAGCTAAGACCAAGTTGTCACAGGCAGTCCCAGCTGGGTGGGAAAGATTTTATGTATTGCTGTGCACCTTCTAGAAAGAGAGTTACTTACAGGGGGGCCTTTTGGTCCAGGAAATCCAGTCGGTCCTTGAGGCCCTGGTGGTCCCTGGGATGCAAAACAAGGCAGAAAACACGATTAAGGAACCTGTAACTCTTTACTATGAAATATTAACTCTGTGTGAACAGCAGATGAGCACAAAGATATGGAAAGCCAACTACTTCTACCCCAAAGAAACGCCAAAAAAGCGTGAGATGCAGCTGTACTGGGCCATCCCTTGAAAAAAGAAATGCATGGAGAAAAAAAAAAACACTGGGCATGGTTAACTGAGCAGCCTGTCCAGCTGCAAAAAGCACTGCAAACATGAAGAGGGCCATCGACCCCTTTGTGCCTTTCCCTCCCAGTGCTATGAAAAACAGGGTTTTTCCCATCCCAGCTCAACAGAGAGACCTGGGAGCTACCAACTTGTGCAGGAATGAAAAAGCAGAGTGCCCGGTGGCTTTGGGGCCGGTGCTGTACAGCAGCTGATGCTCTGCAGGGAGCTGCCACCCCGGAGCAGCGTCAGCAGCAGGTCCCCCCTCGCCCCTGCGGTCACAACCAGCAGATGCAAAGGAGGGACCAATTTAATATATTTCCTCCCTGGGCAATTTTGTAGAAAATTTACAAACAAAACAAAACCTAGGGAAAAAAAAAAAGAAGCAGAAATTGAGGCTAAAATCGTGAAAGTCCCATTGTTTCAGTACTTTCCACCTAGCGAGCTGTAAGGTGGAGAGAGCAGCACAAGGTTCTAGATGACCACCTCCTCCAGAAAACCGGGGTTTTGGCTGTCTGTACAAAACCTACGGGTGACTTTTCCCTTTTCCCATGGAGCGATGCTCACTCAGGACACCCAAGGTCCTGTTCAAGCCTTCCTTGGAGAGCTCAGAAGGGACCGAAGGGCTGCGGGTGACTCATGAGACCTCTCCCCACACAAGCACGTTTCGTCTCGGATTTCTACATAGATTTTTCCATTTTTCTGACCGAGGTGCGCTAAGCCATACCCTGCTCCCACGACCTGCCCACCCCTCTCTGCTCAACAGGTTACGTGGTAGGATGCTCAC